TCCTCTAAGAAAACATTTTTCTTGGTCTCATTTTTAGCGGATGATTCATGTAACAAGCAATACAAAAGAAATTATTTCGGTTCTGCTTTGGGGGCAGGGTTTGGGGTTAGGGATGGAAATGTGGCGGCGGGAAGGTGTGATGGTGGTGGGATTGGTGTTCAAATATTAAATGTAATGAAATATTGTGAACAACTTTATAAAAATAAAATAAAATTGAAAGTGTCTGCCATAGAGACACACTGGGGTGGGGTGGGGTGGAGGCAGGAGGGAAAAGAGGGACATTGGTGGTGGGAAATGTACACTGGTGGGGGGATGGGTGTGGGAACATTGTAGGACTGAAACCCAATCATGAACAGCTTTGCAACCATGTATCTCACAGTGAATCAATTGAGAGACAGGATTTCCAGGTTTAAATGACGTCATGCTTTCATTAATAAAGGGCAAAGGGGTCCGTCCGTCGGCTTTGGAAGCAGAGCTGCATCCAGGACGTTCCTTTTAGACAAACCCCAGCATCACCGGCAGCTCTGCTGGGCCTGAAGACAGACCAAAGCAGAGTGCCTGCAGCTCCTGCCTGAGGGCAGGTCCAGCCTCAGCCCGGGGAGCCCAGCAGCCCTGGCCGCTCGTCCTGCTGGCACTCAGGCTGCTCCCAGCTGGGAGGTGATGAGACGTGCTGGCTGCCCAGTTCCTGGAGCTGCAAGAGCGCCGACCGCCCCCCACCCCCCACCCCAAGGTGTCTGCAGTGACGGGGAGCGCGGCTCTGATGGTCAGAGGCAGATCCTAGCTGCTTTTAGGTCCCTGCCTGGTGGTGGGGGAGTCTAGGGTGACCCTCTGGGATGGCACGACGACAAGGAGCTGGAAGTTTTACTTCCACTTGCCACATCCTCTATGCTCGACCCTGACCCTCTCCCAGTGGCTGCTGGGATAAGTTCCGTAACTGCCAAGGCCACGTGGCCTCAGTTTGCTCATCTGTGAAATGGGACCTTTAGCCGACTGCCGTGCATAGCTGGGGCGGCAGCTGCTTGACCCCTGTTTGTGAAGACAACTTCTTGGACCCTTTCCCTGGAAATCTGGAGACACTAAGTCCTACTGCGGGTCACATTAAACAGGACGGGGAAACAGTTGCACAGAAGCCGCTTATGTTGTCTGTGTGCATTTGTCTATGTTGGCAAGAACGAAAAGTTCTCTTCAAACACACAAGTGCATGAGTGCACACACACACACACACACACACACACACACACACACACACACACACACACAAACTGGCTTATGCTTTCATCCCCTGAATTCCATCTTGCTAAGGCAACCCCCGAGTCTCAGGCTTGTCATTTCGGAAAGCTAATGAGAGTGCAGTCTGGCTTCCTCCTTGAAAATGGACAGGGCGAGATGAAAATGGAATTAGCAAACTTGATGAAAATGTCGTGGGCGCGATGGATCTGTGTGTTTCCTACATGCAAATCATCCAAAATGACAAATGACTAAAAATAGCCTAGAACGTCAAAGGCAACGAGACCTTGGGTCCCTGGCGTGACATGGGTGCATTCTGGCTGGTCAGGGGTGAAGCTTCTTCCGGGGGTCCAGGGCCATGGCCTCTGGCTCGAGGGACACTGGGGCAGAAACCCTTGGCAGGACTGTCAGTGGACCCCACTTGGCTACCAGACTGAACAAGCAGGGCCCCAGGGGGAAGCAGAGCTCTGAGCTGGAGCCACTGAGGTTCGTGCAGGGAATGCAGACAGAGCCGTGCCCAAGGGGCTTCTCAGCACCCCCAGGTGGAGTGGAGAGTGGAGGAGAGGCAGAGTCCAGCTCTCTCTGGGGGGCCTGGGGTGGATAGATAAGTGTCCAACTCTACCACCTCATCTCTGTGGTCTTAAGACAGAGTCTGACCTTGCCCGGCCTGCAGAACTTTCCCTGGCTAATACATGCATGTCTAGGTACCCAAGAGGAAGAGTTAAAAGCCTTTAAGAATCTTACAAGGCCGGCTTGGAAAGACAGAATGTTGGATAAAGCACTTGCCTCACACGCAACGGACCCTGGTGTGCTCTCAGGCACTGCATATGGAGTAGCACCAGGAGTGATCCCTGAGCACTGAGAGGTGGGAGAAGTGCAGAGCACCACTGGGTGTGGCCTAAAACCCAATTCCCTACACCTCCCCCCCAAATATTTTTTTTTTAATAAAATCCTAAGTCAAGGCCCAAGCATATAGCTCAAGCGGCAGAACCCATGACCAGCACGTGCAATGCTCTGGGTTCTATTCCTGGCACTGGGTGATCCTCAAGCTTGTCTGGTGTGGTCCGAGTACAACCCACACACTGCCTCCCCCCTTACCCCCGCTGCCTCCCCAAAGCCATGATAACACTGCACTGCACTGCACTGTCCTCCCATTGTTCGTCGATTTGCTCGAGTGGGCCCAGTAATGTCTCCATTGTGAGACTCGTTGTTACTGTGTTTGGCATATCGAATACGTCACAGGGAGCTTGCCAGGCTTTGCCATGCGGGCGAGATACCCTCGGCAGCTTGTCGGGCTCCCCGAGAGGGGCAGAGGAATCGAACCGGGTCGGCCACGTGCAAGGCAAATGCCCTACGGCTGTGCTATCACCATGATAACATTGACAGAAAAATAAAGACAATCCTTAGAAACAAAGAACCAGATAAGATTGGATGCATTTAGGGTAGTTGGACACAGACCAAAAAATAAAAACAGCACGATGTAGCCCGGGTCTGAGTCTCCATCACAACCTTTGGAGACGGACTGGGTGGCGCTAGCAAACCAACTCCACCTCCTGGATGCTGGCTTACAGACACGGCTGGGCCAGACCCAGCATGGTCCCTTGCCCCCGCCCCCCGCCCCCCCCCCCCCCCCCCCAGCCCTCAGTGCCTGCGCTGACCAGAGGGTGTGCGCTTATTAGCTCTAGGTCACTGGTTGGGAAAAGGAAGTTTCCCTCTGAGAAGTTGCCCAAGGCTGCACAGCTGATACACGGAGGTAGATCTGGACCCAGGCAATGAGAGGCTCTGGGCCCAAATTCCCATCAAGCGGTGGGGTCTGCTGAGAGCAGGACAAGCAAAGGTGGGTTTGCATCCAGAGTTTCAAGGATGCACCTGACTCCACCACCAGCAGTCCCGAAGGTGGTGAAGTCTCAAGGTCACCTGAGAGAGGGGAGCTGGGGACAGGGGGGAGGTGGGAGTGAGTGTGTCGCTGGGGTGCCAGTCCTAGGAAACAGGGCAGGGGAGGCTGGTGGGCAGGGAATGGACCAAGGCCCACGCCCTGCAGAGCATCATCTGGACACGTCCACCAACAACCCCGTGGGGGCGCCTGAATGTGACACAGATGGGAGAGAGTTCTGCAGTGGCTGACACCTGGCACACAGCAGGTGCCCTGAGACTCTCTCGAGAGTGGCTGTTATTCCAGGTGGCGAGGCGTAGGGCTAGGAGGCACAGGCAGTGGTGCCCAGACTTCCAGAGGGCAAGGAACAACTAGGGGTCTGGGTCAGGGGGCTGCTTTTACACCCTGGCTCTGCTGAATACTCACCCTCGTGCCCTGGGCATCTTTTGCCGGGGGCCTACCCAGCAGTACTTGGGAAGCCCGGGGGCCAGCACTGTGGTACTCTGCCAGGTGCGAGTCCCAGTGCTTGGGGGGGAGCATGCGGTGCCAGGAAGGAACTCAAGACTGGGGCACACGGAAGCATCTACCTGAGCTCTCTGTGCCCCTTCTCTGTAAATCAGTGCAGTGATGGTTTTATGCCCTCAGGGGTTCGGCGAGAGTTGATACCACAAGATGTCTCGAAGCACTTAGCACAGTGCCCCCGCGTCAGGGAAGCATTTCACAAAACACCAGCTAGATGACCTCTGCCTGCTCTTGGACTGAGGGGCACCTCGATGCATCCGGGGAGGGCACGTTTTATACTGCCCACTCCCATCAGGTCCTGGGGGAGCCCCAAGATCGGCTGATACCAGCTTTAGAAGGCGGGACCGAATGGGAAAAGGAAATGGAAATGGGGAAGTGACCACCTGCTCTCCCCCACCTACTCCCCAACCAGGTATTGGGGAGAGTATGTGACACAAAAGCACATGCACACACATGAGGCAGATGCATGAGTGCATTCACGTGCATGGATGCAGGCAGGTACACACATAAACACACATGCACGCACATGAACAGGCACACACACATATGAGCACGGACATGTGCACAGACACAGGTGGGCACAAACATGCATGAGCACACGTGTGCAGGCACACAGGTGGGTACACACACGAGTGTGCAGAGCTTGTGTGCACACACGCATGAACACACGTGCATGCACGCAGGCGGCACACAAACGAGTGCACACACTTGCATACACTCACGCAGGCACACGCGCATAAACACACGTGCATGCACACAGCTGGTGCACACACAGGAGTGCACACACGTGTATGCAAGCAGGCGGGCACACACTCTCATGAGCGCGCGCACACACACACACGCACGTTCTAGGTTTTTGAGCTTTGTGCATTTGGAGTCAGCTACTGACTCAGCAAAAGGAATTATTTTCCTTTTAATTTGTTTGTGTTTGAATCCAAATGCGTCCCTGTGCGTGAGGATCCCAGGGAGTTTCATTCCAGTTCTGCTGGAGCGCCAGGGGTGGCCAGGTAATAAATGAGGGGGAGCCACGCGGAAAAGCTGGGTGCGCTTTTTTGGAAAACTAAAGGAGCACTACTGACTTCTTGGGGAGAGAGGGAAGGCGGGGGATGGAGAAAGCGCAGGAGAGGGGGAGAGAGCGAGAGGAGAGGGCGGGACACTGGACAGAAGACACGTCCGCCTTCCAGGACCCGCGATCCCCTCCCGGGTCCAGCCTCGCTCCCTCCCGGGTCCAAGCGCGCGCCTGCCCTTACGCGTCGCCGCTCGGTCCTTTTCTCCCGCCCGCAGCGCAGCGCCGCGCTGCGCTCCGCTCGCTGCAAACCCGCAGCTCGTGCCCACCCCGGCGCCGCCCGGGACCCCCGCCCCCGTCGCCCAGGCCTACCTGAGCTGGCGCGGTTCGCAGTCCACTCCGGGGAGCAGCAGCCGCGCCGCCTGGCGGACGTCGTCGCTGTCCATGGAGAAGCTGCGGCGGTGGCCGGCGTGCGCCACGGCCACCCGGATCCACTCCATCAGCGGCGGCAGCACGAGGAAGGGCCTGCAGGGGGAGGTGGGGGGAGAGGGTCAGAGATGCGTGAGCCGGAGGTGGGGAGTGGTCGGCGGCCCCGCCTCCCTCCGCGACGTCCCCCCTCTGCCTGACCTGGGGAGGCATCCTGAGTGCACGGGGGACCCAGAGGCAGGCTCCCCCGAATCTGCAGGCCTCAGTCTCTGCATCTGTGAAACGGGGCTAGTGTGGCAGGGGCAGAAGGGCCGTTTTTTTCTTCAAGAAAGAGCTCCACGGGGGATCATGTGAACGGAAGGGGAGGGTGAGTCATTTAAAGCCCCAAGCACAGCCTTGGGTGCTTGGCAGAAAACCCAGTAGATAACACCCCACCCACCCCCACCCCAGGGGTGGGCAGTGATCGGTCCTGGGGCACCCATTCTGGGCCTGATCCTAAGGTGTCCTCACTGCCCCCTTCCCACGCCCAGCCAGTTCTCTTCCCCCTTCTGGAACTCTCCCAGGACACAGTTCTGCCCAAGGGGCTGCCTGCCAACAAGCTCTAGGAAAGCTGCCCACCCTGGGCTGTCCTCTGAGGGTCAGGAGGGCAGGGGCCCAGCCCAGGCAGCAAAGGGCACTCCCCTGGAGCCTGGGCTACCCGCCACCCCCACCTTCGCTACACAACCAAGCTTGCTTTTTTTTAAAAAAATTTTTATTAGTGAAACACCATGAGGTAGTTATAGACTTACAAATTTTTGTGCATGGGTTTCAGTTATACAATGATTGAGTACACATCCCTCCACCAGTGCCCATTTCCCACCACCACAGATCCCAGTATCCCTCCCACCCCCCATCCCCCCATCCCACCCTGCCTCTGTGGCAGGGCATTTCCTTTTGTTCTCTCTCTTCTTTTGGGTGTTGTGGTTTGCAAAAGAGGCAATGGGTGGCAATCATGTTCCGTCTATAGTCTACTTTCATCATGCATCTCCCATCCTGGGAGGATCCTCCCAATACCCTTTATTTGGTGCTCCCTTCTCTATCTGAGCTCCCCTTTCCCCTAGCATCTGTGGCTGGCCTCCAAGCCATGGAGCGAAATTCCTGGTACTAATCTCGCCCACTCTTGGGTGTTAGTCTCCTATTTTGTTACTTTATGTTCTCCAGATGAATGCAATCTTTCTATGGAGTACTGTGTAGCTGTTAGAAAAGATGAAGTCATGAAATTTACATACAAGTGGTACTACAATGGAAAGTATCATGTTAAGTGAAGTGAGTCAGAAAGAGAGGGACAACCAAGCTTTTGACGGCTGGTCCTAGTGCCCACTGCCAGCCCTCTCTGTCCAGTGTTAACCATATCCAACAGAGTCTTTGGGTTCCCAGGCTGCACCCTCCGCCTAAGGGCCCCTGAATGCACAATGTGAGCCGGCGAGGATGATGCGGGAAAACGAAGTCACTCTACATAACCCCCCTGTGCTGCCCAGGTCCGGTCTCCCAGCATGCACCTGTGCCTCTTCTTCTGGGGGCTGATGTGGCCGTGGCAGATGCCCCCCACCCCCAGGCTCACCCCCACTTGCAGCCCTCCTGGCCTCTGAAACTCCAGCCCATACCCACACCCCAACATACTTCCAACCTGAGTTCAAATCTCTTCCGGAACACTGCTCCAGAGACAGCCCCACCTCCCCTGGCCGCCAGCCTCTCCGGCCTCCCCTCCTCCCTGCTGGAATCCCCTTCCCAGAGCCTTTGCAGATGTCCCCTGATCTGGTCATCAGCTGGGTTTGCACCTTGATTAGCACAGGCCAGTGCCACGCTAGCTGGGGGTGGGGATGGGGGGCGCATCCTCAACAGACCATCAAACAGGGCGTTTGTCCAACAGACCAAGTGTTGCCAGTGTCTTACTGGGAGGAAATGGTGGGGGCGGTGGGGGGGCGGGGACGGGGTTTCTGGACTTTGGGCCTGTGGGGTGGCCTCTCTGGGAATCTGCCGCATCTGTCTGCGGCTTTGGCGGCGCCCACACCGCCTCGTCGTCCTCTCCATCACCCAAACTGAATCAGGCACTTAGTAAACACACGCGGCTGACAGTGAATTGGAGTCCACGGTCTCAGGTGGGCGGGACCGATTTTTGGCACTGGTGTCTCATCCCAGCTAAAACCAGTGTGTGTGTGTGTGTGTGTGTGTGTGTGTGTGTGTGTGTGTGTGTGTAGGCTCAGAGAACTCCCTCCTCCCCCGGGGCTGTTCTGCAGAGCTGCCTCAGGACCCCCTCCTGTCTTTCCTGTGTGCAGTGGCCCCAGTCTCCCCCTTGCCTGCTGTCTTTTGAGAGAGACGCCAGGCCTGGGTGTGGGACTCTGAGAGAGAAGCGTTGCTGCCTCAGACCCCACCTCCACGGAGTCGGCTGGTGAGCATAAGAAACCTTGAACCCCAGGATTCCAGCCGTCCCTGGAAATTTTTCTACGAATTCTTCTTGCGTTTCCTCGCCACTCTGACCTCGATAGTTTATAAGCTCGTGAATTCTTTTTGCCAGCAACTCATTTAAGAATCTCCTTATCTGCGCGAGTCAGAGAGGGAAACCACTCTTACTTGTGATGATTCTTTTGGAGGAGATGGAGAGCACAGAATGAAAGGCATTCGAGGCCTTGACTTTAAGAGAGTAGAGAATGAGTGAGGGCGGGATGATGCAGTCTTTCCTACATAATTTCTCCATCTAGAGACCACGTATATTTTAAGAAACCAATAAGAAACTGCCTTTTGTTCTGGCCACAGCATTCTGAAGTTGTTTGGAGTATTAACACCTAGAAGGAGCTTAAAGTTTGTTGAAGGGCTTTGCCCATCATCTGCGTCAGAATCACAGGAGGCAGGGAGGGAGGGAGGGAGGGAGAGGAAGATGGAGGGAGGGAGAGAGAGGAAGATGGAGGGAGGGAGAGAGAGGAAGATGGAGGGAGGGAGAGAGAGGAAGATGGAGGGAGGGAGGGAGAGAAATAGAAGAGGAAAAGAGAGAAAGAAAGGGAGACAGAGAGGGAGGGAAAAAGGGAGAGAGACAGAGAAAGAGAAAGAAAGAGGGAGAGAAAGAGAGACAGATAAAGAGGGGAGAAAGAGGGAGCCAAAGAAAAAGAGAGAGGGAAGAGAAAGGGATAAAGACAGAAAGAGGGGGGAGAAGGAGAGGGAGAGAGAGAAAGAGGGAGAGAGAAAGGGAGACAGAGGGAGAGTGGGAGAGAAAGGGAGAAAAAGAAAGAGGGGGGAGAGAGGGAGTCAAAGGGGGAGAGAGGGATAGAGACAGAGAAAAAGAGAGAGGGAGGGAGAGAAAGGGAGAAAGACAGGGGGAGAAGGATAGGGAGGGAGAGAGAGGAGACAGAGGGGAGAGAGAGTAGAGTGAAAGAGGGGAGAGAGAGGAGAGAGGAGAGAAAAAGAAAGGAGATAGAGAAGAGAGGAGAGGGGGAGAGAGAGAGAAAGGTGAGAGAGAGTGAGAGAGAGATGAGAGAGGAGAGGGAGGACAGAGAGAAATAGAGAATGGTCCAGATCCTGGTTTTGCCTTCAGAGCTCCAGATCAACAGGTCTGGGTGATACCCAGGTTTCTCATTCTATTAATTTTATCCCCGCCCCTTGCTTTGCTATTATTTTTCTGATGACAGATTGCATGCACTTTTGCGGTTGGCCAGCATTCGCCAGCCTCAGCTGTGTTGCGTTGCCAGGGATCAGACGGCAGGGAGGTGGTCCCAGGGATCAGGCTCAAGGCAGGCTCCCCGACCCCTCAGGACCAGGGCTCCCGGGAATCTGCATTCTACCCCAGTGTCCTTGGGAATTTGGAAGCGAGCCAGTTGATCACCTCCTGTTGGGTGGCCCGAGTGGGGCAGAGGGGACACTATCAAGTCTAACAGGCTAGTGGCCATTGAACTCACTCCTCCAGCATTCAAAGAGGAGGCCTGGGGCTTGGGACCAGAAGCTGTGGGATGAAAGAGAAGGTCTCAATGGGCTTCCCACAGAGTTAAGAGAGAAAGGCAGCTCAGGAAGCTTCCAGAAGGTTTCAAGTTCAAATAAGAGAGGGAGGGACAAAGAGACAGGTGCGTCTTTTCTGACTCGGTGATGAAGAGAGAGTGTTATGAGGGCAGCTGCTAGAGGTTCCCCCGGGGTTTTGGGGGCTGCTTGTTCATGGGGTCCCTATGGGCTGGCTGATTCCAGCCCTCACCTGCCAGAACTGCTCTGCAAACCTTTCAGTTGTTGTGCAAAGCATTTTATCTGCAAAGTGGGGGGATCCGAGATGGGGTAATCTGCTTAGGGGACCCGAAGGCTTTCCTCTACAGGGTCTGGCGGTATGTGAGAGCAATGGTTTCCACTCTCTTAGCATCTGTGAGCCTGTGGAAACAGAAATCGCTGGTATTTCTATCGCGGCAGAAATTAACAAAATCATCATCACAGGAAGAATCTGTGTAAATCAGGATCGATGCTCTAGGCGTGCCGTGGGTTAAGTTGCAGTGGGTTTTCCACAGACTGAAGCTTCTGGGAACCAGCCGCTGAAATCCACATTCCGGCCCTGCATCTCAGCTCTGCCCTGACAAGGCAGAATGTGGCTGTGTTCCCAGAAAGCCTTGGTCACGAAATCAGGAGGTGGGGGGCAGGGAACTGACCCCTCCCTATGCAGCAGCTCCTCCTGCTCTAAAGCTCTTAGACTGCTGCATGTGTATGTGTGTGTGTGTGTGTTTGTGTGTGTGTGTGTGTATGTGTGTGTGTGTATGTGTGTGTTGGGGGTGGGGGAGGGATTCCAAGTGGTGTCAGGAGGTCTGGGGGGCTCCTCCTGCAACTCTCAGCCAACCAGGCTGGTGGTTGAATGCCAGGGTCCGAGAATGTGGTGCTCCTCAGGTCCTGTGGAACTCGGACACTCAGAGGACATGGTGGCAGGATTGAAACCCGAGCAGAGTTCATGCCAACACAGCCCCGAACCGCCCCATGATGGCCAGCCCTGAGTTCTTGGACTTGATTGGAATAGTAGCCGTCTCAGGAAATGTCCAGTAGGTGGAGGAGGGAGATGGGACGTGCCTAGAGCCAGGCCGTGGGGAACAGACAGCTTTGCAGAT